GCAGGTTTCCAGGGTCTCCTCCAGGGATCTGCCACTTCACTTCCTACCTGAACCTTTTAGCATAGTGAAGGGTAGCAAGGAAGTGGCCTCCCTGCCCCCTGGGCTAAGCTTGAACAAGGTCTGCAATGCTCCTGCTCCATGCTGGCTGGGACCTTGAACAAGTTCACAGTAAGCAAACTTCCATTCTCTCCTTGGGCTCAGGGTTTTGTGTGTTTCCTCCCTCCATTAACACTCGGCAGCTTATAGTACAGTATCCCAGAAGGAGTGATGGTTAGAGTTTGGAGAGTTAAAAAATAAAAACAAATAAACACCAGCTCCCTATCCTAATCTATGTGAGGCTGTTTCAGGAAATAAGGAAAAGGGAAAGTATTTTCTCTGCTGAGACTTTGATGAGTTAATCCAGTCTTGTGCTTGGTAGAGGTCTATTCCAGTGATGTTCGACTGGAGGAAGGGAAGGGGAAGCGATCTACCCCTGTTTCTCCTTTGCCCTCTGAAAGGTGGAAAGACCTCTGGAGCACCATGGGAGGTTGTGATGGATCTGTTCCCTCCACAAACAGAAGGGCAGCTCTGGATCAAACCCATAGTACTGTATTTCTAAGATAAATTGGATGGATTTCAACTTTTGTGTGGTTCTCTGGCATTCTAGACTTCTGAAAAGTTTCAGAAGATAAACCAGATGGTGTGCAACAGAGATCATAATCTAAAACGCCATGCTGAAGTGAGCACAGCGCCCAAACCTCTGAAGAGGCTGCACTTTGATATCGGACAAGATGAAGCAGATGGAAGGTGAGCTTGTTTTTAAAGTGGTTGAATTCAATTGTCTTCATTGATATAAAATACTTTCTAAAAGGAGAATGGAATGTTTGGCTAAGCGTATTCATGTATAATTATGGCAATTAACATGTTTTATTTTTATACAAATTGATAAGGCAGTTTCTGAATTTTCCAGAGCAGCTCTTAAGTCTTGCTGTATTTTATATTGAAATGTGGCTTGTTTCTTCTGCAGTACAAATGACGACACTGGAAATTTTGGTGAAGCCTATGTGTGTTTCTATGGTTATATAACTGGTTTAATACAGTAAATGAAATTTTGCAAATGCCTAAAGTGCAGTATAGACTGTGTATTTTCTGTGTGTGTACACACACACATTAAGCTTGAATGAGAAACCTTGTCTGCTTTAAATGATTAAATTATGTTCTGATCTGCCGAAGGAGATTCCTTCACTCCCTTGGAAATTCCACAGAGAGATTAGGTGCAATGTACACTGAAAGTCATTCGGTGCCATTTGCCAAACATGTATCCATGTTCTCATCTGGTTTGCAGTGGGAAAGCACATACGCATTTGCTGCCCTGGGGCACTAGCCAACCAACCATGCTTTCTTTTCTCTCTCTACAGGGAACACCTCTCTGGAGATTCCAAGTTCCAACAAAAGCTTGCAGAAATGAGTAAGTTCTTGTCTCCAGGGAAAGATAGTTCTCAATATAACGGAGAGCGACATTCTCAGGAAAGGAGGAAGAAGGGAACAATCCCTTAGATTGTTATTTCCTTCCTAGGAAATAACCCTAACCCTAACCCTAACCCTTTCCCTGAGGCATGAGCAATTGTCCTCTCAGGCCAAAGCTACTCCTCTGGGGGAGTGGAAGGATCTTGGTGGTGGGTCAGTCAGTCATTAGGAACAAGAAAGCCGCCTGTGATGGGGATACAAGACTGGTGCAAAGGTTGTGGATGCTGCCTGTTGTCTATGTAACCTTGTAGATAGTGCTGGAGGAGTCAGTGGTCATGGTGCACATTGGCACCAATGGCAAAGGGAAATGTAGCTGTGAGGTCCTAGAAGTGAACTTTAGCTTGGTAGGATGTTGAGTCAGTTCCAAGCCCAGAGACAGCTTGACAGCAGATTGGTCTCTGTGTGTGGATGAGACTGTATTGCGAGGAGGCTTGGACTTATTTGGCACTGGGGAATGTTTTGGGACGAGCCAAGCCTGTACAAGAGAGGCAAGCTGCCCTTGAACCAGCATGGAACCAAACTATTGACACTTACAATATGAAGGTGGCAAAGCAGCTTTAAAACAGATTGTAGGGGGGAAGTTGATAGGAACCAAGGAGGGTCCAGTTCAGAATAAATCTTTCCCCCGAAATGAAGGTGAAATTTTGTTCAAATGTCTTTGGCGCTTGGTTTTAGTCTGTGGTGCTTTGACTTCTTTGAACTGCTGTCATGCACCACTACACTTTCAATGCCTAGATTCTGTCTTTCCTTTATAAGGAGAGAAGCTGTGTATAAATTTATATGCCAATGCTAGACGCCTCTGAGTCCGTAAGTGTGAGCTTTCGTGCTTGGTCTTAAGAGGAGAGCATTGATATAAGGGGCATATGGAGAACATGGTAGACTGGAGAAAACCAGTGGGATGCAGTTAGCTCTGAATACAAAATCCATAAAGGCAGGGAAGGAAGCACTGGACGGGGCATCATTCGGTATGTCAAATAGGGCACAGAGTCCAGCAAGCTAGAAATCCCCAAAGGGCAAGATTTCTCCATAGGAATGCTGCACATGGTGATACTGCGCCCCAAAGCTAATTTAGTGCTTGGGGTGGGGGTGTGCCATCAGCCCCCTGACCAAATTGCTCAGGGCGATACTGAGAAAGGCTGTTGTAATAGCCATGTAGACAGGGTATATGTGTGCTCCGGTCAAGACGAAGAGGTAGAATTTTTGATGCACTGAATGACTTTGCCTTGGTTGTTCATGGAACTGACCAGAGGACTTAATCTTAAGTGGCACCCAGGATGCCTTTTCCCCTGAAAGGGAATCAAGGCAGCTTACAGATAAAATAGAAATAGCTTAAAACACTTGGGGGGGGGGGTGTCATTAAAAACAGTTAAACATTAATAGAATTAAAAGGTGTGCATGTATATAAAGGTAAAGGTACCCCTGCCCGTACGGGCCAGTCGTGTCCGACTCTAGGGTTGTGCGCCCATCTCACTTAAGAGGCTGGGGGCCAGCGCTGTCCGCAGACACTTCCGGGTCACGTGGCCAGCGTGACAAAGCCGCATCTGGCGAGCCAGAGCCGCACACGGAAACGCCATTTACCTTCCCGCTGGTAAGCGGTCCCTATTTATCTACTTGCACCCGGAGGTGCTTTCGAACTGCTAGGTTGGCAGGCGCTGGGACCGAGTGACGGGAGCGCACCCCACCGCGGGGATTCGAACCGCCGACCATGCGATCGGCAAGCCCTAGGCGCTGAGGCTTTCACCCACAGCGCCACCCGCGTCCCTGTGCATGTATATAAGATCTATGAAAACACAGAGATCATTACAATAAAAGCAGCATAGCACCAGCCTTTTCCTTAAAAACGGTCAGTTCCCAAAAGCCTGTTGGAATTCACCTGCTGGCAGAAGGAAGGCAGTTTAGCCTGTATAGGGAGGGAGATCCAAAGTCTGGGAGTAGTTTAAAGCAAAACATTCACGCCAATGGGGTGTTGGCCATGCACAAACAGCTGTGCAGTTTTCTAAGTCTGGGTTTCTTGATTTCGACTGTGATAGTCTCCGGTGCTGGCGTGCATTCTTGGACTCAGTTGGGTTTCGTGCCCCCTTGTGCTCTTAAGTCAGGTCCTTTTAATAACGGATGCAGTCCCAGGTTTTTCTGTGCCAACTTTTCATTATTCCTCTTGATACTGTTTTTATTCATTCTCTTCACATGTCCATTGTAATGAGCACCACATTTGTAGAACAAAGGCCAGATGAGCTGCTTATTTGCCTTCCGCTTATTTATCCTATTGAATGCCCAAAGTAAAACTGTTGTGCTTGTTTTTTAGCATCTACTCGAACCAGAATACAAAACCAGAAACTGAATGATGGAGCTGATTCTTCAACCACTGATCAAAAGTGAACTTCCACATTATGTGAATTGTTATGTTTTGCTGTATCTTTATTGTCTACATTATCTTGTCATTTGCTAATTTGAAATAGTTGGGCTTTATATAGCCAATGTTTTATAGCAGTATGCAATATTAGCTACTTAATTGCCACATATATGGGTTTTTTAAGTAAAAATTTATTTGCTTCCCAAGGCAGCATTGGTGGTTTAATACTCTTTCGTTTTATTTATACAAATTCCTTAGAGCAAAGGCACCTGAGATTTAAGTAGGCAGTCAAAATGCACTTGAGTTTTAAGAAATGTCATTTCAGTTTTAGACTTGGATGCACTATTTGCCTATTTTATGCATTAGAAACAAACAAGCAAACAAAAAAGCAGTTCATACATAATTTAATTACACATGCAAGGACTAAGATCTACAATGATGTGTATAACTTGAACATGAGGTGTAAAAGCTGATTGTACTTGAGTAGGACTGGATCCAGCTCACTGTGTAGCCATACTACTGAAACAAAGATGCTGTACCTCATTAATATTTCCACCTTCATTCCTTTTGTTTTCAAGCACTTATTTGCTTTTTGTAATCTGGTGGGCTTCTTGAATTTTACTGAAATGTACTGATAGGCATATTCACCATTTTCTTTTCTGCAGTACAAAATACTAAATGTGCTCTTTTCCATCCATATCTTGAACAAAAAAAGATGTTAAAAGCTTTCATGCAAATAGGTGGTTGAATTTTAAAGCTTAACTAGGCTATGAAAATGAAACCCTGGGGTTTTACTAGCAATAAGTTTAAGATTTTGGCTACTAAAGTTTAACTATTCTATTATAATTATGTATTGAAGCAAAGGTGACTACTGTCCATTGGCAGTATTATTCTTTATACAGATAAATATTACTGCTTCAAGGATTAATTTCACTTTTTCATGTAAGAAGGGATAGTCTTCATGTAAGCAGCAATATATAGTTTTCCTTGTAGTTATGACCTTTAATTCTCATAACCCTGTGCATTTGATTTTGGTCCTAGGATGGCTTAGAGGTGAACTATAAAAATGGATTTTTTTCTCACCTTTGTCTCCAAGTATGGATTATTTTCATGCTGCATGATTTATGGTTTAGAGGGGAAAAACTACATTCTTGAAATGTTTATTTCAGTACAATACACATTTACAAACATTGGTAGTATAACGTTAATAGTGATATCAATGCAGTCAGATTGCTAGCAAAATACTAGTGTGTAACTATTTTTAGGGCTTTTTCACCTTTAGTTTATTTGGGCTTTTGTATTACTACAATACAGTTTCATATTCGCCTGCCATCCCTCCCTCTGCCCTCATGCCCTTTTGTTGTTGTTGTTACATTTTCTCTTCAGGTGTTCAGGTTCACATGCTCAGATAAGGGTTAGGGCAAAAGAGTGTCAGCGCTCTGGCTGGAGGGGTTTGCAGCCCTCTCTTCTGCCTCCTCCTAGCTGTGGCTTTTGGGTTACTGGGCGAGAGAGCAGTGTCTTCCTCCTTTTCTCATGCTCTGCCAGGCTCTCGCCAGCGCTGGAAATGAGGGTGGAGGAGCACTCAGCTGGTGGACATGGGCAGGGACAGCAAATGCACTAGCTCCTTTGGGTCACTTTCCCATGGTTGCTGGCCAGCCAGCAGGTCCCTTTTTGGCCCTAGAGACACTGGATCTCCAAGGTTGGTCTGGTCAGGGCAGTTGTGGCAGAAGGATCTCTTCATCCTCAGAAAGGGAGAGCTGATGCATTCTGTGGCCACGGGACGTCTTTCCAAGGATCACAGGAGTACAGCCACAGTATCATGCAAAAACTCCTTAATTTGGTTTGAATGGCCCACAAGGATGCTGATTTTCAGCAATAAGGATTAAATAAGCAACTTTTATAGCTTTATCTTACACAAGGTTTACTTGGCAGTAACACTTGTGTCATGCTGTCACTGGGTTGGGTGGAGTTGTCCTGGTGAGGAAGTCAGGAGCAATAAGCTCTTCAAGAAGTGGGTGCCCCCCGTTTCCTGCTCTTGCCTGAGCTTTGCTCCCGTTTTGCTCCTTCTACAGCCAGCAGAACTTGAGCTTGGTGAGTCTGGGGGGACACCCACTGTGGGAAGAGCTTATCGCTCCTGCCTTCCTCACCAGGGCAACTCCCCCCAACCCAGTGACAGCATGACACCCTTACAAATCTACTTTTCAGGTCAATACCAGTTGTACTTTCTACCAATGGGAAGTTTAAAAGCTCTTATAATTTACCTTATAGACTAGAAACACCAATTTTCTTCCCCATTTTTCTTTGCACCCCATTTCACTTTGGTGACAAAGACAAAACAGTACTGTGGCTTTTCTCTGACCTAACATATGCACAGATATGTATCAGAATTTGAAGCAGTTTTCAAGTCCCCACATACATGGAAGAGATTTAGAAGACTAGTTCTAAAAATACACCTTAGTCAAACACACTTGAGTATTTTCTACCAGTTTTAACAGTGAAGGAACTAGCTCCTGTTGAGATTTCCCTGTAAGAGTGTGTGACTAGAGAAGGTTAAATTTAGATATCTGAAGCCGTAGAAGTGGGAGTGGAGGAAGAAGAGTTAAGCAAAGTTTAGTAGTTAAGGGGAAGAGCTCAGTGCCCCCCAAGATCTGCAGAATAAATTATACATAATTTATACAGGTGGGCAGAATTTAAAACCAGAGTTAAAAAAGGTAAGTGAACACAATCTCTTCAAAAATCCACTCGTTTTCTCCCCCAGCCAACCTCTTTCCCATAGAGCAGCTCCACTGCCCCTCCTTCTTTTATTGATGTTCTGACATATTAATGTAAACTGTTTATCTGTCCTCCACCACCCGCCCTTGGGTAGATGGAAGCAGAGAAGTAATTTCTGCTGCAAAAGGCACTCACTGAAAGATGACTTTGTAGCTTGGAGTACAAAAGAGCTTTGCGATGCTGCTCCCTGCTCCTCTTGCCTCTGAGGATTATAGTGACAGCCTAGAAATGACAACCACAGCAGAGGCTGGTATAATAACCAAATTTACCTGCAAATGAGGAAAACACCAGTTGCTGCTTGTTTGTTTTAAAAAGTAAAGCAACCTGCAGAAAAAATACTGTAGGTTCTGGTTGCTGAGCGCATCTCAATCCCGGTCATGAGGTTATTTGCCACTGCAGTCACTTTTGTAGACGGCTGATAAAAGCTGGAGCTTTTATGGCACTTGCTTTTAAGTGGGTTTAGATTTCTGAAAACTAGCCTAGACTTAAACGAGGGAGTAATTTAATTCCCTGTCAAAAGCCCACAAAAGCTTGCCCCATTGTTGCAGCGGAGAGACTGATGAGTGACACCATTTGAATTTCACTTAGGATAGTGTGTTGCTCTGAAGGGTTCGGCAAATAGTTCAGATACAATTTTAGAGAATTCCACTGAATTCTACAATACATGTTTGGAACACAAGCATAGGTTACTTAGTCCCTCAAACTGAAGAGGACATTAAGTCTGTCCATGCCCAAGCTAAAGCCAAGAGGTGGCAAACAGTAGAACATAGTGAAGTGAATAGACGAGAGGGGTACTGTGTCCTTTCCTAGGTTTCCGACCTAAGAGCACTCAGAGGGGGAGTTTTCCCTTACTAGGGCAGCACACTGATTCCTGAATGCTGCCAAACAGCATTTCTGCAAGGTTTTTCAAAGCTGAACAAGTGACATAAAGGAAGACGCAACAATATCCCGGGGGTGGGGGAGTGGCTATGAGAGTCCCGCAGCCATTTTTGCTCCATGAAGTTAGTGGCTATGTTTTGCGAGCCAAACTACATTCATGAGTTGTACTCTTTTTCCAGCACTTACTTCATGAGTATCCCTTGTGAAAATACCTTGATTTTCTGCAACTGCCCTTCCTTCAGTTTTTAAACGCTCCCACTTGGCTGGCTTTGCTAATGAAGTTCTTCAGAAGGTCATGGTCCATTTCTGCAAAGCCTGATGTCTGAGTAACTACAGTCAAGTGGTTTATGCAAAACCGAAAGCAAAATTCCTCTAATTCCTAGGAAGGAAATAAGTATTACATATGTTAGCGGAAATGGGACCACCCAAAGTGAAGCGACATGGCGGATACATTTTCCAGGCACAGCTACAGCCCCTGCACTGACATTTGCCGAAATTCAAAGTAAACTCTGACAGCAGCTGCCACCCATGGGCTGGTAACTCCAACTGCGGGTCATTCTATATCAAGTGATCCAGTTCTTTTAACCTCATGGAATTCAATTTTCTTAATATTTTGTACACTTGTTGAATGATCAAAACTAAGTTTAAATCTGAAATTTTATTTTTTTATCTCATCCCAATTTTGAGTTATGTGGGTTTGAAATAAAAAAACAATGACAATTTTGGCCTTGCCAGACTACACAAAAACCTTGAAAGCTCAGCCCAGAATTGAGATATTTCAAAACTAAAAATACCAATCTCTTCAGAACCTTTAATATGCTATTGTGACATGATGGGCTTACTTTAAATTTTAAAGTTAAGATACAAAATTTAAAATTTTAAAAAGTGATTTAAAAATTAATATGGTTTTAAAATTGCCAAATATGTATTATTTAATATTTCTAAGAGTTACTTGCAAAATTTCATCTTGGGATCTCAATGGGATCACATTCAAAAAAAATATTTTGTACATACATGTCTGCCTTATTGGGCTCTATTTAGGATAAATGGGTCGTCTTGGAGTAAAATATAGCAGAATAAACAAGACTTCAAACTGTAATATCAGTTACTTCAGGCATTTCTTTAGAAAGTTATTCAGTTAAAAGGTACCTGAAAAGCTAGTCAGGCTTTTTTAAAAAAAATGTGTTCCAAAGCCGAGTGATAGTTTGCTGTTGCATGACAGAATTAACGCTTTGAAAGAATCCTTGTTAGTACTTCATTTCAGACAGTCACTGGATCGCAGGACTGCAGAGTTGGAAGGGACCCCGTGGGGCATCCAGTCCAACTGCAATGCCGAAATCTCAATGAAAGCATCAGCCCATCAGCACTAAGCCACAGTACAGCCTCTGCAAATGCAGCCAATATTGAAAATAAAGTTGGCTCCAGTAATATGAACCATACTCAGTAACCTGAATAAGAAAAGAAAAAGCATTTGAAAAGAAATTGTATGAAGGCTGGATCTTGGCCACCCAGGACCAGAACTCTTCCTACTAAAAGGCAGGAGAAAAGTGAGTTTCTCTGACTGTCCATTCCCCCAGAAGTTTGGGGGGGGCATTCAGAACAGCAAAGAAGGTTGAGCTGGGAGCAGCAGGAAGATGGGGGAATGGGTGAAAATTGCCTCCATGCAGAAGGAAGGAACTTGCTCCTTTCTGTAAATGGAAGTCCATCCCTTAGTTAAGGAGAGTGAGTATATATCCAACCCTTGCTATTCTTAAAGTTCTTCAATAATAATGTACCATGCACCATGAATACACAAAAACAGCTCTCACAAAGGGAGTGTTCAAGATATTTTAAAGTGTACAAGTTCTGCTGAAAATGCAGCTTTGTGGCTAAGCTATGGATTTCGTTTATTATTTTCCTTTCCTCAATATAGTATATTTCAGTGCAGACAATCTGTTGTGGTATGAACAGAAAGGGCAGGTCACTAGTGCCTGGTCCCATGAAGACATCCACGAAAGCAAGTCTGGAAGGAAGAGGGGAAGGGGAAAAGTCTGCAGTTCTCTAACCTTTCGGATAGCTATTTGATATCTTGTAAACCAGAAAAAACTGTGACCTTCAGATTAATATTTGTGCTGTACTTTCAAATGTTCAAACTTCTTTGCATCTTGTGTCTTGTAGAACAGACACAGACACAGTGTCTTAGAACAGCCAAGGAAGATAGGCCAGGAGTATGCTCTCCAGACTGTAGATGGGAAGCTGAGGCTCAGAAAATGGCCCTTTGCCCCTGGCAGGACGCAGATAAGTGTGCACTGCTGGAAGGGGGCTGCCATCTGACTGGGGAGAGGAGTGCAGTGGTTTGTGGGTACCTGTACCAACCAGGAGGTAGGACTCAGAGGCAGGAGAAGCTTCAGAGCTGGAGGAAGAACAGGTAATTGCTTCCTGCCCTCCCCTGCCCCACTGTCTCCCAGAACCAGGAGAGGGTGGAAGGGGGAAGGACAGAGGCGTCTTCCACGCAGGTGCCAGCTATGTGTGCTGCACAGGCTGTGGGGAGAAGGGGCAGAACCTGGTGGAGGCAGAGTGCTCTGCAGTTGCTGCAACTGCTCCATAGAGTCCAGACCTGGGAACAGCTCCCTAGACCGCTTAGGTATTCTGAGCTGTAGAGGCGCCTAAAGAGTTAGCTGTGCCATGTGTATTCCTTGGACTGGGAAGCACCCCTGACAAGCACCTGGAAGGTATATTACAAAAGCAAAATTCAAACTGGGCCCCTCCTGATTCATAATCATCATTTAAATTTTAATAATAATAATAATCTTATTCTTGATACCGCGCCCATCTGGCGGGGTTTCCCAGCTTAGTCTCTTAGTTACCAGATTATTTACAATACCAAGGGGTCTCGAACATCACAAGCATCTCTGCAGGAAACTATTAAGCCTCATTCCTACCTTTGCTTCATACTTGACTGCGGCAGAAAGAAGGGCGATTGCATTCTCCTCGGAAATTCCCTGCTTGATTGTTTGCTGGCAAAGCCTTTTCAGTCTATTTTCTCGGTAGAAGGTTGCGAGGTCCAGCAGGCCTGCCAGGAGAAAAGAGGGGGCAGGGGGAACACGTGGCTGCACAGGTTAGAAGGAAAGGAAACATTGAAGAGTTCATATTTTCAGTGGCACACAAACACCCAAACATTTAGGGATGATTTGCACATACAACATGCTTGCTATTCGCATTCCACAATTTTAATAAAGGTAAAGGTACCCCTGCCCGTACGGGCCAGTCTTGCCAGACTCTAGGGTTGTGCGCTCATCTCACTCTAGAGGCCGGGAGCCAGCGCTGTCTGCAGACACTTCCGGGTCACGTGGCCAGCGTGACAAGCTGCATCTGGCGAGCCAGTGCAGCACACGGAACGCCGTTTACCTTCCCGCTGGTAAGCGGTCCCTATTTATCTACTTGCACCCGAAGGTGCAACTGCTAGGTTGGCAGGCGCTGGGACCGAACAACGGGAGCGCACCCCGCCGCGGGGATTCGAACCGCCGACCTTTCGATCAGCAAGTCCTAGGCGCTGAGGCTTTAACCCACAGCACCACCCGCGTCCCTCCACAATTTTAACTCATCCCTATTTTTCTGATGTTTCCCCGAAACAGAAACTCTGGATCTTAATATAACTGCCCAGAAGGGTAATAAGGCAGGAAAAATGCATTTGCTATAGTCCTGTATTTCTTGGATCAAAATGGGTAGACCACAGCTTTATAGCTTAACAAGCTGCATGGTTGCTTCTTGGAGGCACTATTTAACATGCTTCCAGTTTCCCACTTGATTGGGAATCCTGGTTGTCCAGGCATTCGGCTGAATGTGCAACAGTTGCCCCCTTCAGACCTTCCTACTCAGTGGGCGAAGACCTGAGGTTGCATTCAGGACAAGCTTGGCTTGGTCTGCCTGGGATCAGTCTGGACTGAGCAACCCCCATCCTGATTCCTGAGGCCTAAGAGCCTCCAGCAGAAAAAGTAAGGCGGACTGTATGTGTTGTGAAAGCAACCATTTCCTCATTCCCTTTCCTTCACACTGACTTGCGTGACAATGGCCTGCACCCCCCACCCCAAACAGAGCCTGGCAACTGCTATGAATTGCATGTTCCCGTTATATAGATTCTGTGTTGTGGGGAGTTATGTGATGTAATGCTTATGCAGTGTTCCTTTTTGAAAATGAAAAGGGAAATAATTGAGATTTCACTTCTTCTTTTACGGAAGATGTGAAATACTATTGGGCCTTCAATGTCAAAGGTCATATTATCAATTGAGCAATTATCCTGAACGCCAGCATAACTGTGATCATTTTTTATCAAAACTGCAGCCTGGGGAGAAGCAGTGATTTAATTTTGCTCAAGTATGCAAATGGTACATTAGGAAAATTAGGGATGCTGAAAATAATCAAATAGGGGCAAAGCCTCTGAGATTACCTGCAGGTTAGTTGAGCAGCGCACCTGGGGCTCCTCCTGCCACCACCTGGGGCAGGTGGCCCTCTGGCTCCCTCCTCTGGAGGGCAGGAATTCTGTACTGCTAAAGCTAATAAAAGATAAGGCTACTTAAGGTCTACTGCTCAGCTCCTTCCAATAACCCAGGCTCACTTGCTTAGAGAACTTCAAAACAAGACTGGGCATTTGTTAAAAGCAAAACCAGAATTCACACCCTGTTTTATTGGGGGAAAATACCACGGATGACCAGATTATCATCAGGCAATTGCTCTTTCTGCCATGTCCTGCTTACATCCCATAAAATCCAATCAGATACATCTTGGAAGGCTGTATGAGTGCTGAACTAAGGGGGCCTCCAAAGGAATCCAACGCAGGTTTTGCTTATTTTATCATTTATTCAAAATGTACTGTGACACCTACAGGTCTTTCCAACTACATGCACACAAAATTATAATTTATCCACTTTACCGCTAATTAAGGCCTTTCTCAGAGGCTACAAGTTGGACAAATACATGTTGATTTCTCCAGTGCATTGACTCATAAATGCATCCAATGTACTGACCCATGAATTCTCAAATACACAGTAAGGATGCTGCATGCTGGAAGTGCAAAGTTAGTGCAGCAGATTCCATTCTGAAATTCAATGTACAAGCATCCTACCACTTGAGTGGGGGGTTATGCTCCAGAACCCCATGTGCATAACTGAAATCATGTGAAGTGGGGAGCACCCTCTAAAAAGCTTCCAACCCCCCTTTTTTCCTGCTCTCTAGCTCTCTCCCACTCTCTCCCCAATCCAGACTAAAAGATCTGGAGTTGAAGATCTGGGGCTGGCAGCTGCTGCGCTACCCCATGCATCAGCTGTTAGGCGGGGAAGTTAAGCAGCTGAAAAAAGCCCTGCCCTGCCTCAGGTCTCTTCAGGGCTTCCTCTGTCTTCACTGATGTCCTCTTCCGGCTCCAGCTACAAGGTCTCTCTAGCTCTCTCACACCATTTCCAAGTTTAAATTAAATTATTTCCCAATGCCACGTGTATACATGATGGTGCGCAAATCGATCACATATAAATGGGGGGACACCTATATAAACAAATGAATAATCAAAATAAAAATATATATGAAGTATTAAAGAGTATCACATGCTTTTCAATACATTCAACTACTTTACATTTTAAGCCTGCTGAAATGAACTTCAGCTCTTCTAAATGATCCCATTTCTTCCAATTACCTACTGCATCTTCAGGAGGAAGACTGATGCTGTCCGTGTACAGGTATTCCAGAAAGGCTCGGTAAACGGGATATGAGAATTCACTTATTTCTATAATTTCATCATTGTTGTTGTTTAGTACTGAACGGAAGTGCTCACACCTGAAGAATGACATACAAAAGGAAAATAAGTTACATCACTGGCAAGCAGTTTGATTCTGGTTGTAAAACAGAACAACAAAAAGGGAGAAAAAAGGGTGGGAATATTAGTTCCATACCTAATTTTGAGAAGGACTTTATGAACATGAATGTATTTTCCATCCACTTGAAATCTCACATCTGCATTATCTGGACTGTCAAATTCCTTCTTTATCGACTGAGCTACTGTTAAGTGGTCGTCAGCCTCTAAACAAGACACCAATGAATACATTTAAAACACGCTGCCTCTCCCTCCAGCCCTCTGTTCACATGAACCAATGCAAAAGAAGCAGGCAAGAGCATTTCAAGGAAAAGGAAACTGACAAGAATGCAGACAACCAAGGGAGAGAGGGGACAGCCTTTCAGCCATTCTTCTCTTTAGAACATGACACCTAGCCTGGCCACATCAGGAGTTCTTTGCGTAACAGGAATTGTCTATCTTGGCTTGTGATCGAGGTGGTAACCACATCCTCATTTGTCACATAAGCAGCTGACGTTCCCACAGTTTACACCCAGGCCCCAACCTAAAAAGATGAAGAGCAGAATGGAGCAGACTCCAGCGCAACCAGGGGTCTAAGGCTCCCGTCCCCGGCCAGGGGCAGGCAGTTAAGGGACCAAGGACCTGCAGGGCAGTTCCGCCAGCTCTGCCGCCAGTTCTGAGCCCTGGCTGAGCTGGATACCAGCTATGATGGATCTGATTATAAATACAAAACCAAAGTGCCAACACAGAACTGCATTGAGCAAAGAAGGAAAATGACTCCATCCCTTGTGGGGTTATGGCCCTAATCTGTTGCCTTGGATTTAAACTGCAAGCCCACATTGCTCTGAGCTCCGCCCCCCTGCTTTTCAACTTGATGTCGCTCACAAACTGCCACTATGGTTTTTTCCCCTATCCCTTGGGTTCTGGGTAATTAGCAGAAGACAGTGCAAGAATTTCAAGGGTGGAGTTTCAGGTTTGGAGCTTGCCTGATATAAGCTAGAGGAAAAAGCATAATAGCAGTTTAAATCGAAGGCGACAGCCATGGGAGAAAAATAACTGTGTGTTGCTGTGAGCCCCTCCATCATAAGCTCATGTTGTGTATGTGTGTATGCAAATAAACCATATATCCTAAAGACACCACAGTCTCTTCTGTGCCTCATGTCCACAAACACAGACTCTTGCAATGCCACAGTGCTGTGGAGTCTGGGGTGCCCATGTAACACTCGTTCTCTGGACGGTGTTGGAGGCTACCAGCACAACCCCAAAGGTCAATCACAACCCGGGGGGGGGGGAGCAGTTCAGAAACCGGGGAGAACCTTTTGAAGCACCCCTTGCCCCAATGCTGCCTTGGCCAAGTGCCTGCTCTAAGTAGCAGGAGCAGCACCAGTATCTGCCCCACACAGTTAGAGCATTCAAGGAAAATGTGCTTGAGGTACCTGCAGCCACTGAGGGGCAAAGGGAGATGCTTAGCCTCAAATGAACTAGCCATGCAGCCTCCAAGCCACCTAGAAAACATAGAATGGGACAGCCTCCCCCACAAAGCTATGGGGTGAAACAATATCAACAGTTTTAACAAAAAAAATGGCCCATAGCTATGAGCGCAAGGAAAGGTTTCCCCCCATCTCTTTATCTAGATGGTTCAGAGCCTGCAAAGCCCCCACTCCTGGTACTCTTTATGCCAGTGTTATGGGTGAAAGAAAAAGGAAATCAAATAGCATGAAATGTCAGCAAATTGATTTTTTTAATTTTTTTCTGAAAACAGTCTAATTTTAAACAGAAAGCTGGAACGTAAGAAACAGGAGGGATGTGCCGGGGGGGGGGTCTACCTGCTCGGGAGATTTGCTGTGCTGACATTGTCTCAGCTTGTTAAAGGTAAGGTAAAGGACCCCTGGACAGTTAAGCCCAGTCAAAGCCGACAATGGGGTTACGGCGCTCATCTCGCTTTCAGGCCAAGGAAGCCGGTGTTTGGCCACAAACAGCTTTTCCGGATCATGTGGCCAGCAGGACTAAACCGCTTCTGGTGCAACAGAACACTGTGACGGAAACCAGAGTGCACGGAAACACTGTTTACCTTCCTGCTACAGCAATGCCTATTTATCTACTTGCACTGGTATGCTTTTGAACTGCTAGGTTGGCAGAAGCTGGGACACAGCAACGGGAGCTCACCCCATCATGCGGATTTGAACCACCAACCTTCCAATTGGCAATTGGTGGAACCTCCAATAAGGGACATGGGTGGCACTGTGGTCTAAACCTCGGCCTGTACAGAGGCTTCCCCAAGAGAGTCAGAGGCATTCTGCCTGAGGCAGGTTGCAGGCACCATCTGATGGCCTGTGTTCATAACTGACTGTTTTACTCAAGATGGTGCCCGCTTTGTTGCATACCCAGAGATTGGTGGGTCATTGAGGGAAGCAGTTTCCCTTTGGGCAGCAGGGCCAAGACTGTCTGATGTGGAGGACAATCGAGTGGGACTGGCAATAAATTCCTCCTTGCAGCTACAGCAACCTGACTGTCCCAAATGTTAGCTCACCAGTCTAGGAAGATAAAGCACAGAGGCATTTGCCAACTGCTACCATGGAATATGCCCATTTTCCTAAGGACTTGGAAGCGTTTGCTGCTGCCAGAAGTCTTACGGGTTGATCCTTTCCAAGATGGAGGCATTGGGACAGGGAGAAAAGGAGGCAAAGTAAAAAGGGAAAGCTGCACCAGGGAGCTGGGCAAATAAACATGTGCTTTTTTTAAGCAAAGGAAAAGCAAAGAGGAGAGCAGTAAAAGACAGAAGGCAAGGGCTAAACTAGGCTAAAGAGAAGAGGAGACAGAAATAGGAGGTAGAATGAGCTGAGCTTGTAGGAGAATCGGTGGAGAATCAGCAGACCCTGAGCGAAGGCAGGAAAGAAACTGAGAGACTGACAGGAATTTTAGGATTGCGTTTCCTGCCTTCTGAGCAGGAGGAGGCATTCGTGTATGCAACACATATATTGTTTTTCAAGCTGACCTCAATCAGTTCACAAAATATTTTTACAATGATAAGGTTTACTTTTTAAAAATTACAACAAAATGGGAAAAGCAAAAGTGCTTGTGGCTGCTTCTCTTGGGGCAAGATGGTTCTGCAGAAGCGATGTGGGAGCCGGATGGTGACAATTCACCAGGCTGCTTCTCTTTCTTTTCTACTTCCGGTTGGAAGTTTGGTTAGAACGTAGTAGGAAGCTAACCATATCCCAGGATATTCTGTTTCTCACTCTGACTGATGATGTCACTGCAGACATACGGTGCCATACGAACGTAGCAGCAGATCTGACGGAAGAGGCAACCTGCCAGAGCTGACATACTGGGGGTGGGCAGGGCTACCAGCAAAAGGGGGCAGGCCAACTAATGTAAATTTTACTGATGTACAGGAGGCTAATTTCTACACACACTGACACCCCATCTCTGTCCTCCAGCCAGGCACACTAGAGTGCAAGGACATATTCCAGCCAGGCAGGAAAACTCCAGGACAGCCTTTCTCACCTCGGACCCCATGATGTTATTGAATGGCATAATCCCTGACTGGCCATGCTGCTAGGAATGATGGGGGTTGTAGTCCAACAACACACAGGGACCCAAGGTTGAGAAAGGCTGCTCTAGGGTGATGTGCAGAGAGCAGTGTGGCCTGGGGGGAATCGCAGGCATCAGAGAGACAGGCTTGTGGGCCTGTGCATTTTGGCTCCAGGCTCTCTACTCCTGGCCTACGGCTGAGCTTCTTGCAAATTCTCCTTTGTGGTTCTGCAGTTGCTCAGACCTGCCACACAGATAGGGAAGGGCTTTCCACAGCTCTCAGAATGGTCAGGCCTGTGCCATTCAGCTGCTTTCCAACCACTATCACAGCAGCGGTGTTTGGAGCTTTCCTCTCCTCCTGGGAAGATTTAAGAGTACATTCAGCAGAACACCAGATGGAAAGGAGCCTTCAGCAGTCCAAGTTAAGGGGGCAGGTGTCCCTTAGGACCAATATGGCAGAAGGCCTGCCTTTCACCTAAAGAGAAGAACCATGTCAGAGGAGATAGAGCCAACCCTGACAAGGACGTGGGGCTCATTTCTCCCACCAAGCTGAGATCCAAACTATACCACTGAAAAGAATGCTATTTACATATCTTCAAGAACTAAGTAAGATACAGCAATGCAAACAGGAAAAAAATTGTCTGAAGCTCACCCACTGAGAGGAGACGCCAAGTCACTGCAGGAGTAGCAAAACAAGCAAAGACATCATCCGTGCAGACAAAGTGGGTGAGATGCGGCAGAGTGAGAGACTGTCCCCGGCACTGACCCCACATGTATACTTGGCCACCCTGGGTTTTAGCAGCAGAAGTGTGAGCGGAGTGACATGCAGCAATCTCTACGACTCTATATTTAAAAGCAAACATAAAAGAACAGCGGCATAAGGACAACATGCAGTGACAACGCTCAGAGGTCCTAGCTGCAGGTGGCCATTGTTCCAGGACCACTTCGGTGGATAAAATGCATATTTGTAACCTAACGGCCTTTCCTATCCCTTGCCTCGGCTGTAATTCTGATGGCCAGACTTGCATTTCTAGGCACATGTATCAGTTATAAACAAACTCTCTTTAGACTCTGCCCCCTTGTCCTCAAAATCTTTAGTCAGGCTGCATAAACACTGCACATTGTTTTTAGCAATTCTTGTTTTTATCTGTAAGCAACCTTTAGCCCTGTCAGGGGAAAAGGTGGGGTATAAATAAATATATAGTAAGAATAGTAAGAATCCCGGGAACAGTAGTTTGTTAAGGGTGCTGGGAAGTATAATAATAATAATAATAATAATAATAATAATAATAATAATAATAATAATATTGCTGAAAAAAGTTTGAAAATAGAATGCAGAAAGGGGAGGTATGGGGGAGTCGGGGAAGTAAGTTACGCGAAAATAAGGATGTGAAATTATACATGTTATTTGGTTTGTGTTTGTTTGTGTTGTTGTGTTTGTTAAAATTTTTTGTGAAATTTGAATAAAAATTTATAAAATAATAATAATAATAATAATAATAATAATTATTATTATTATTATTATTATTTCTACCCCACCCATCTGGCTGGGTTTCCCCAGCCACTCTGGGTGGCTCTCCCAACCAAGTATCAAAAAAATGATACAGCATTAAACACTAAAAACTTCCCTAAACAGGGCTGCCCTCAGATGTCTTCTAGAAGTCGGGATAGTTGTTTATTCTCTTGACATTTGATGGGAGGGTGCTCCACAGGCTGGGTGCCACTACCAAGAAGGCCCTCTGCCTGGTTACCTGTAACCTCACTTCTCACAGTGAGGGAACCACCAGAAGGCCCTCGGGGCTGGACCTCAGTGTCCGGGCTGAATGATGGGGTGGAGACACTCCTTCAGGTATACCGGACCGAGGCCGTTTAGCTTTGTGAGGGGTAAACTACAGTTCCCAGAATCTTTTTTTTGCGGGGGGGGGGGGTGGTGGTGTCAGGTGCTATAAATTGATGATGTGTTCTTCTATGCCCAACTCGTATGTTTTCTAGGACCTATAAAGCATTTCAGTAGTCCTGGCTTCCACTGTTCCTGGGTCCTCAAAGTCCACAGCTATTATGGTGTTTGCTCCTCCCGCTCCCTGGCAGTGGGATGCCACACCCTGTTGCTTGCAGGAATTGCCTTAAGGAATCAGGTACTGTGTAATCTGCCATTCTCAAGAAAGCACGACACACCTCTGCCTTTCAAATAAAAAGGTCTAGTCTCCATTCAAACATAACATGACACCAGATTGCGTTAGGCCAAATTAACACTTTAGTTGTTTGAGCTTCCAAATATACAATACTCAAACCATGTTTTCAATATTTTAATATGCTTTTATTTCACAACTGAAGACTGTACTTCATAATTTCATGAAGTCATTCATCTCCATGGTGCAGGAACCTCTTTATGCAAAACAATTGCCATGGACTTTGAACTCAGACACAGCAAACCAGCCAGTACTACAACTTCAAGCTATGATTTCAGATTCTAGTTTGTCAGCTTCATACAAACCACAGTTTGTGGGCAAACATGAATTCAGGCAATGAGAAACCATAGTCTATCCTGATGGCAACAAGTTCAGGCACTGCCAACTACAGTTAGGGCACAGCAACAAGTTTGGAAACTTTCCCTTCTGTTTTTAATGAATTGCAGGTTGTTGTTTTCTCTAAACCTGACATATGACACACACACACACACAGCCTTTCTGCCAAATCATGCTTTGTTTTAAAGAAGCCAACTTTAAATCATGGGTTATGAAGACAGCAGAAGTAGACAGCCTGGAGGAGCTGGGGTGCTCACCTGACCTCACTCTGGCTGAGATGCTGCTGCATACCAGGACAGGGACAGATGAAGCAGCGGCAAGGAGTGCTGGACTGATACTGACACTGTGCTTGTACCACACTGACCTCACCCCCCCATGGGCCTCCTCCATCCCAAGATGCAGCAGTGTCTTAGCCCCAGGGAGGTCAGGTGAGTGATGCAACCCACCCAGTGATGCCATCTGAGACTGTAAGAGAGCTTGTTTCAATACCATAAACCATTTGGAGATTTTTTTTACAATCAAGCATTGTATAAATTTTATGAAATAAATACCGTATTGGTATTTATTTTTTCAAATTCCAACCATGAAAAGTTAAAGTGCAACTTATATTCGCGACCTTACAAAAATTGGCTGAAACAGACATGCCATGAACACGCCCCCCCCTTAACTCTAGCTCCTGCTGGAGCCCTGGCAAGCTCCTGCCGTTTCCCGCCTCCGCTGCCTTGGGGGGGGGTGCCCAGGAGTGGCGGGCGGTGGGATGGCAAGTGCCACCATGCAGTTCCCCTCTGCCTGCCCCACCACTGTTAATGGAGCAGGGGGGTGCCTGCCTGGTGCCAGGAGCGGTGGGATTATCAGCAGCGGGGCAGGCAAAGGGGGATTGCATGGTGGTGACGCAGCAGCCCCCGCTGTCCCACCCCACCTGGCGTGGTTTGAGGTGAGCTGAGCGCCCCCAGCAGAATGTCTCTCCTTGTCCAGTCGGCCCCCGCTGCTGTTTCTTTTTCTTTCCAATTGTACATCAATATGCAGATGATACCCAGCTCTATCTCTCTTTCAAATCAGAACCCCCGAAGGCGGTGAAGGTCCTATGTGAGTGTCTGAATTTTAAAGGTGCGGCTTATTTGCAGGTGTGGCTTATATTATATTTGTCTACACAAACCACAGCACACCTGCCTGAAAGCAGAACATCTCTCTCCTGGATGTGATTATAAAAGCACACAGGAAGTGCCCAAAGGCATCTGATAACTGTGATCCTTATCCAAGTACGAATTAAGATCTCATTTGTTAAATACGGTATTAGAAGCAAATTATGGAAAAAGGAAAGTCTTCAGCCAACACCTCTTGTCTGGGTTTACCAAGCACCTCACATTTCCAATAGGCAAACTGCTTCTTCTCTACTGCAGCACAGCATTGGGAAGGGGGACTGGCAGGCAACCGGGAAGGATATCCTGGCAGACAAGGGGATTCCTCTGCCCACTGCTTCTCTTCTGCAGATGTCTCCTCCTCATTCTGGCAGGGAAGCAGAGAAGGAGCAGCCAGTGTTTGGAAATGGGAAGTGGACTAGTAATGCGTAGTCCTAGCTTGATAAGCTGTAAGTGCAGCTCTATTATCCACACTCTTAAAGCCTTGCACTTCTCATACTGGGAAACAACAGCTTAAAAGCACACATAAAAATAAGCTACTGTTTCCAACAAAGACAGGAAAAGATACTGCCATTTCCAGCTACCAAGTTGCTCTTTCCCAATTATTCTTTTATTGCCAAAGCACCTTTGTATAGATCTATAGGCTTTATATTCAGAAATGTGAACAGTCTAATAATTTTACTATCTTACTTATGGATAATGTCTAAGGGGGAAAAATCCCACAGTTACTGCAGTACAGGCTACAAATTCTGCTTATTGCGTGATTATTAGCAGGATCCTACCTGTCTTTATCCACAGGAACAGGTGCAGGGTAGGACTGGTTCCCTCTATTCCCAGTGCCTAACTGGCCATAGGAATTTGCTCCCCAGGCATACAGCTGACCTTCGTCCGTTAGCACTAAGGTATGTGCATAGCCACAGGCAACCTAGAAAAGAAAAGCACATAAAATAATTTATATTCTTACATTTTTGCATTTTACATCCAAGAAGATTTATTAAAGCTTTTAAAAACATTTCTGGAGAAGTGTTTATTTAAAAAACCAAATGCAAAAGACAGTTGAATCATTTATCACCATTCAAGATTCACAAACAGAATTCGAGAAGCTGATCTCTCTCGGAGTTTGTGAGAAATACCAGCTTCCAACATATCATAGAGTCTTCTGTCTGCATGTGACAGGACATAGAGTGAATACAGATTGACACTTAGGCAATGTGTAAATTCAGAACTGACAGAAGATGACCTTATGCAGGATTAGGAACAGCCAAGGAAACAAGAAAAGGCAGAAGGTGGGCTATCTCAAACCAGTTGTCCCTGCAATCACAACACATCTACAAATACTCAGTTAAGTGTCTTGGGCCAGCATTGCTCAGATTAACTTACTTTATGGAACAGGCAAAAAAACAAAACTGAAATAAGGCTAATTCATCCCAAGTTATTGGGAAATAAGTCTTTTCTCATTGAAATTTTGGTTTCTTTTTTATTAGACTAATGAATGGGATATTTACAGCTTGCAACAGTCTCCCCAGCTCCCCCCCCAAAAAAACCCCTTCACTCAAGGAAGTGTGTGTCTGCACCCCCCTTTCTTTTTCTTTTTTTAATAATATTTATTGAAAGTTTTAAACAGTTAATAAACAAAGACAAACATACAAAACAAAAGAACAAAGCATAAAATAAAGAAAGAAAAGAAGAAAAATAATATCAACTGTCTCAAATCAAATTTTCATAACTTTTTGGACCTCCTCACATCTCCTGTACCTGCGTTCCCAATTATAAATTTATAAACAGCAATTTATCACCTTATTTCAATACTTATAATGTAGTTTTCAAATATTATGTAACCATCTTTATATATTTTTATCATATACATAAGAACTTAATTTAGACATAATGTTACTCCAAATTACTTCTTTTTTCTTAGATATCACTTATTCTCATATTTCTTACAGTTCAGTTATTGGTGCCATATTATTTTCTATCCTGCATCTTCTTAACATTCATACAGCTTATAGTGTTTTTGCAAATAGTCCTTAAACTTTTTCCAGTCCTCTTCCATTGTCTCTTCTCCCAAGTCTCGAATTCTGCCAGTCATTTCTGCCAATTCCATGTAATCTATCAGTTGCGTCTGCCATTCTTCCAGCGTGGGCAAATCCTGGGTCTTCCAATATTTTGCAATGAGAATTCTTGCTGCTGTTGTTGCATACATAAAGAATGTTCGGTCCTTCTTTAGCACCCTCTGGCCAACTATGCCCAAAAGGAAAGCCTCTGGTTTCTTAGGAAAGGTAAACTTAAATACCTTTTTCAGCTCGTTATAAATCATTTCCCAGAAGGCCTTAACCCTTGGGCACGTCCACCAGAGGTGGAAAAAAGTCCCCTCAGCTTCCTTACATTTCCAACATTTATTATCAGGCAGATGGTATATTTTTGCGAGCTTGACTGGAGTCATGTACCACCGGTATATCATTTTCATAATATTTTCTTTCAAGGCATTGCATGCCGTAAATTTGACACCGGTGGTCCACAGACGTTCCCAGTCAGCAAACATGATGTTATACCCAATGTCCTGTGCCCATTTAATCATAACTGATTTAACCGTTTCATCCTGTGTATTCCACTTCAACAGCAAGTTATACATTCTTGAAAGTATCTTAGTTTTAGGTTCTAACAGTTCTGTTTCTAATTTTGATTTTTCCACCTGGAAACCTGTTTTTTTATCCAAATTAAAAACTTCCCTAATCTGAGCATAATGTAACCAATCTCGCACTTTATCCTATAGTTTCTCAAAACTCTGCAATCTCCAAGTATCTCCAATTTTTTCTACTATTTCCCAATACTTCGGCCATTTGGCCTCCATATTGAGTCTTTTCGGGGCCTTAGCTTCCATTGGTGACAACCACCTTGGGGTCTTATTTTCTAATAAGTCTTTGTACTTTATCCAGACATTTAATATTGCTTTCCTGACAATATGGTTCTTGAAGGCCTTGTGCACTTTTAACTTGTCGTACCACAGATATGCATGCCACCCAAAAGCGTTATTAAACCCTTCCAGATCCAAAACATCAGTATTCTCGAGAAGCAGCCAATCTTCAACCAGCAGAAAGCTGCTGATTCATAATACAACCTTAAGTCTGGCAGGGCAAACCCCCCTCTTTCCTTTGCATTGGTTAATATTTTAAATTTTATTCTGGGCTTTTTGCCCTGCCAGACAAATTTAGAAATGTCTTTCTGCCACCTCCTGAAGCACTCCACCCTGTCTATAATCTGTAGGGTCTGAAACAAAAATAACATTTTTGGCAATACATTCATCTTTATAGCAGCAATACGGCCCAACAAGGAAAGCTTCAATCTTGACCAGCTTTCTAAATCCTTTTTAATTTCTGACCAACACTTTTCATAATTGTCCTTAAATAAATTCAAATTTTTAGCAGTCATATTAACCCCTAGGTATTTCACCTTCTTAACCACATTTAAATCTGTCTCTTTCTGAAACCTTTCTGATTCCAAATTTGTCATGTTCTTTTCCAAAACCTTAGTTTTTTGTTTGTTTAATTTAAATCCAGCCACCCGACCAAAATCATAAATCAATTCTAAAACCCTTTTCGTACTAGATTCTGGCTTCTGTAATGTCAAAACCAAGTCATCTGCGAAAGCTTTAAGTTTGTACTGTTTAGCTCTGACCTGAATTCCTTCGACCAACCGGTCCCCTCTGATCATATTCAGGAGCACCTCCAGGACCGAAATAAATAAATTGAGTCTTTTTATTTCTGCAGGAGAGCAGGGAAGGCTGAGAGGAGATATGCTAGCCACCTTCCAATATTTGAAGGGCTGTCACAAGGAAGATGGAACAAACTTGTTCTCTGCTGCTCTGGAGAGCAGGACCTAAACCAATGGCTTCAAGTTACAAGAAAGGAGATTCTGACTAAAGATCAGGAAGAATTTTCTGACACTAAGAGCAGTTTGGCTGTGGAACGATCTCCATCTGGAGGTTTTGAAGCACATGTTGGATGACCCTCGGGTTCCCTTCCAACTCTGCAATTCTGATTCTTTCAAGGTGGCTGGTTTTTCTTCCTATATCCTACCTGTGCAACTGCAAATCATCTTTTCAGAACATGCCAAGCATTCAGCAAATCTCATTTAACTTCCCTGTCTGAGAGAGAGAACCCCCTATGTTCTGCCTTCTTTCTACACTACCTAATTGAACCTTGTTCCGCCACATATCCACTTCCCCATACATGCCCACTTGACAACTTCTGCCTGCAGAACTGACCCTGTAATAGGTGCTGCACACTATTCATTCAGCACTTGTAAGAAATGAGTCTTTTAGCATGGCAGCGCCCACCCTTTGGAACTCTCTGTCTATTGACATCTGTCAGGGATCTGCATTGTACTCTACCCAGACACGTAGACGTGTTAACTTGTGTTTTAATCTGTTTTGAGCTTGACCGTTGATTCTGGGGATGCTCCCATTTTCAGCTGTCTCATGTTGAATACTTGCCCAGTCCCTAATATTTACCCATCTAGAAAATCCATTTCAGGATAATGGCATTGTACTGATAACTCAAGTCACTTTCAACAGTATCTTTGATAAAACATTAATTTCTTTGATGATATATGGTAGTGCAGTGTGCTCCTTTTTGAAACTCCAGTTAAGCAGACCCTCTTCCAACTACTTTGCTCGTTCTCTGTCTCCCACACACCAGTTCAGCCCAACAAAAGCCAATCAACACTAAATGCCAACTGAGCACAGAGCTGTTTTTGGGGTCCTTCCCCCTTTGAATGTTTTTCCTAAATATATTTTGGGCTTCTGTAAACCTGCAGCTTCCCCCCCCCCCCGGCATGTTGCCACCTTCCCTCCTGTATGGGGATAGCACTGTTTTGGCTGCATCAGTATCCACACTTGGGAGGACAGGCTTGCTATCAGTATATACGATGAAATACATAGCCCAGTAGGGTAAGCTTTTAACAAAGGCCTGGCAACAAATGAAACCTACCCGCTGCACACGGATGCCTTGCAGAGCTGCTATTCTGCAAGGTGTTGGTTGATTGCCGCTATTGCCCAATCCAAGCTGACCGTTGCCATTATATCCCCAGACGTAAACCTTAGAAAGGAAGATAATTCCAGTTAGTTTGCAGGAATAAGAGCAAAGAAGAGGGGAAACAGGAGTACAGAATCCCCTATAACCTTTGTGTAATTCACTATGACACTTTTTTGAGAGAGAAAACCCCTTTCGTTTCCTTAAGTGTTAGAACCAGTTCTGTACTCCATGGGACCTTAGCATTCACCTGAGAAGCATCTAACAAGAAAAGATCCTGCCCAGTCCAATATATCTATGTGTACAGGGGTGATGAAATGACCCGCTTGATCAGGGAAATATCTGAATGCCCCAATTTGCTTGGGTAGCTGCTGCCTTCTAACCTTAGCATTAGAGCACACACTAGCTAGACTTCTCAGGTTGCAGAGGCAGCGCTGTTCAATGGTTTCCTGCATTTGCCCCTAAACTGATCCCATGAGCAGCTAAAGCCCCTGGCTTTTCTTTTCATCTCACTTCTAATTTGTATGCCGCCTTTCTATAGGGCAGGTTATAAGCTGTAGAGACGACAACAAAATATACATCAAAGATCACACATCGTATAACAATCCAATCCAATGTAAATAAGCCATGATAAGAATATGACCTTAAAATGAACAACTTATGTAAAATAAAGCAATATGCAATGATCCATTTAGGGTATATTACACTATTAAATTTACTCCCTACATATCAGCAAATAATAATTAAACAGAAATGCACTCTCAAACAATAACAATAAATCATTACTAGACTATAATCAATAAAAATAAAAGTGAAGATAGAAAACTTAGAATACTACAATACATAAATGACCACGTAAAAAGATCAAACTAAGCAACAAAGTCACGTAGCTTATAAAAGTGCAACATAATGTAACCAGTCCCTTGGTCCACACCCAGTTCCTGGTGCAGTTCCTGGTGCAGTTCCTGGTGCAGTTCCTGGTGAGTCTCCCACCCAGTCCACACCCAGTTCCTGGTGCAGTTCCTGGTGCAGTTCCTGGTGAGTCTCCCAGGGGGTCTCAAGGAAGGAAAAGGGACACTGTTCCGCTCACAGTTCTTTCTTCAGCCTCTGCCCCCTTCAGCAGCTTTCAACTTATCATGCCCTTTAATGCTTATGCGTGGCGGATGGGAAATTACCCGAGGAATTGCCCCTAAATTAGACCTAAACAAAATCTGCAGTTTTACGACTCCCTTTCACCCACAAATTTGATTTTTAGGGCAAAGAGGATTATGGCCAGGGGTGGCATTTCCTCTACCCTACCATGCAAGCAGCAGTGGAGGGGTGGCACTCAATTGTTCCATCAGCGCAAGCATTTCTTGCCAGACAGAACAATCTCCAATCTCCACTCCCTCCCTCCACGTGTTGACGTGACACATGCACCCCAGAGCTGATTTGGAGGAGGGAATGTGTGGGGAGGTGGGGAAGCCTCGCCCTTTTAGTGGGAATCCTTGTGCTGCCTCCAGCTGCTGCAACTATTTTGTTGGATCTGGCCCACAGAGTAAATGAAGACATGGGGAGGTGGATTTGCAGTTAGTAAAAGCTCAAGGGAACAAAAAAGCCTTCACTAACCTGGACTGCTCAGAAAGGACCCAGTCAGAGAAGAACATTTCAAAGTTGTGACAGAAGGTAGCCCAAATCTATGTAGCTACCAATCTGGTACTGACAAACATCCTATCCCCCAGTTTAACCATCAAAATCTTTCAGCCTGTTGACAGTCTCTGGACAGCTGTTAACAGACTTCATGAGGAGCATAAAAAATAGAGCTGCACTCTGTCCATATACAGACCTAACACTCCAAAATTCCAATACCAAATTGCTCCTTTGCTCCATTTTGTCACCTAAGGTGAAATGGTAAAGGTGACAGAAGCAGCTTCCAGTGAGATCTCACCAGAAGCTGTCATTGTGTGACCCCGGGGGCAGGATTCTGCTACCTGAGACGGCTGCTTCAGTTCGCCTCATGGGCAGACCGGCCTGCCATCTGCACTGCCTCCTGGGCACCTCCAATGCAGAGTCTCTAGTAACTGAGATTGGTGCTTCCTTGTGAAGATGGGGGCAGAGCATTCTGACAGCTCTGCCACACAACCGTACTGCAACATGCTTGCACTGCCTAGCATGGGGGAGGGAAAATGGATACCCAATTATCTTCACCAGGGGCCTCTCCTCAGACCTTCTGAAACACTCTTTGCAGCACAATAGACTTTCATTCAAATGCTTTGTAAGAGGAGACACAGAGGACAAGAAGGACTCACAAGCTTCTATGCTCAAAACTGTGCCCAGCTTGGAGGGAGGAGTTTACCCTGGTGAAATCAGAAATTAAGCCTTAATGACAGGAAGCAAGCACTATTCTGAATGTTAAGAGACAGTTGTTCTCCAGACACCAGGAGAGAATATTCTGTCAGAATCTATCTAACCAGACTTGTTATACTTAAAGATCTGCCTTAATTAGCAGCATTGTCTACTGTAGGGAGACACAGTCAACAATTAAACCACAAGATTACACACCATAAAGGAAAACGGCCTTTTTAATTCTGATGAATTCTCTTACCTCCCCATTTTCTACCACTGCCATTGAGCACATCTGGCCACAAGCAATGTTAATTGCAATCTTGCTTTGTAAGCAGCTGGTGACTCTCCGTGGAATTGGCTGGTTGGCTGTTGAGCCAGATCCAACTTGCCCCGAATTGTTGTAGCCCCATGTATAAACCTGTAAAGAAACAAACGATATTATACGGTTATAATCCCATATTGAGAGAAATGCCAGGTCCATTTAATTCAATGGTAAAGGTAAAGGGACCCCTGACTGTTAGGTCCAGTCGTGGCCGACTCTGGGGTTGCGGCGCTCATCTCACTTTACTGACCAAGGGAGGCTGCGTACAGCTTCCGGGTCATGTGGTCAGCATGACTAAGCCACTTCTGGCGAACCACAGCAGCGCACGGAAACACCGTTTACCTTCCTGTCAGAGGGGTACCTATTTATCTATTTGCCCTTTGACGTGCTTTCGAACTGCTAGGTGGGCAGGAGCAGGGACCGAGCAACAGGAGCTCACCCCATCGTGGGGATTCGAACCACTGACCTTCTGATCAGCAAGCCCTAGGCTCTGTGGTTTAACCCACAGCACCACCTGCGTCCCTTAATTCAATGGTACTCACTTCCAATAAACATGTTTAAGATTACACTTATGTCAAAGACAAATGCTAAATTAAATCACATTGATTTAGGCCAATGGAAATTTTTGTGACTCAAAATTTTCTGGAAAATTCATGTCACTGATAGGTCTGTGAAGAAATCACCCCAAAAACAAACAAACAGAAGCAAATGTTATTTGGAAGTTACATCTCAAAAAGAGTTCTTTCATTTTTTATTTATTGATACTAGATAAGATTGGCTCTCGTTTGTGGAAACAATTACTAGGACAGCAATGTGAGTATTCATGTATCTGAGCTAGTATCCCACCATATCTGGGATTCCCAGAGCAGATACAGTGGTGCCCCGCAAGACGAACACCTCGGAAGACGAAAAACTCGCTAGACGAAGGAGTTTTCCGTTTTCTTAGCCGCTTCGCAAGACGCATTTCCCTATGGGCTTGCTTCGCAAAACGAAGCTTGCCCTGCAAGCTCCAGGGATAGCGGGGAAGCGCAGCGCGTCTTCCCCGCTGTCCCCGGACCTCTTTTGAAGCAAGGGGCGGCGGGGAGAAGATCGCTTCTCCCCGTTGCCAGCCCCGCAATCTCCGGGGACAGAGGGGAAGGCACGTGCGCCTTCCCCTCTCTCCCCGGACCCCTTTTGAACCAAGGGGCGGCAACAGGGAGAAGCGATCTTCTCCCCTCCGCCCCTTGCTTCAAAAGAGGGGACAGAGGGGAAGGCGCGCACACCTTCCCCTCTGTCCCCGGACCCCTTTTGAACCCCAAGGGGCGGCAACGGGGAGAAGCGATTCTCCCCGCTGCCCCTTCCCTTGCTTTAAAACAGGTCCGGGGACAGAGGGGAAGGCACGCGGCGCTTCCCCTCTGTCCCCGGACGGTCTCCATAGGAACGCATTGATTGATTTTCAATGCATTCCTATGGGAAACCGTGCTTCGCAAGACGAAAAACTCGCAAGAAGAAAAAACTTGCGGAACGAATTAATTTTGTCTTGCGAGGCACCACTGTATTAACAATAATATAATATAGTACATTTAAAAACAACCCTTGTCTAACCTCAGAAACTAAGGAAAGAGACATTATTTTTGCAGGTGTTATGTAGCCTAAAAGGGCTACCAATGTAGCCCAGTGAACTTTCAGATGGCTATCAGCATACAATTTACATCCCAGTTTTATCCCAATCCAGAGTGCTTGCCCCTTTTTGTTTCAGATATAAAATTCCAAAGTTGCTTGAACAAGATTCTGATAGATTTTCTTACCTCTCCATCAGATGTTAAAACCATTGAATGATGTGAGCCACAGGCAACTTCAATCACTTTTTTGTTTAACAAGTTGGTGGAGATTTGGCAAGGAACTAAACCATGGTTGGTTGTTCCATTTCCCAGTTGACTATAAGCATTATGTCCCCACGTATATACTTCTCCTTCTACAATATAAAAAGAAAATAACTTTGAAAACGTTACAAGCTATCTTTTTCCCAACTAAGAGAAAAAATAAACAATGGCTGAAGCTTTTTGTTCCATATATTGTCCTCTGCTGTGATTTAACCACTATGTACATAGAACACGATTAAGGGCAAATGTCAATTCAATTTATTGTCTCCATGGAGACGATAATGGTTCAAACAAGTTAAAGGGATGGGTTGTGCTCCATATATTGTCAAGCCTTCAAATGAAACAAATGAATGTGCGAAGTTATATAACCCCCTCCTCTTTTTGGTAAAGTATAATCTCCATGCTTACTATGCATCTCAAAGTATAATATTCTCTCCTACTGGAACTTTATCCTGCAATTGGACACCTGAGGCAGATCTTTTAGGTTTAGTGTTGCAATCTCTCATTCCTAAAAAAAAAGGGGGGGGGGAAGACCCCAATCAGCTATCCCATTTATCCCTACAGTGCATTGATCCAGATTCACATCCTCTCTACGACCCAACCTTGTAGAACTGAATCAACAGGGAAAGGCCTGCTGAAACAAGTTCGGTCTGGGATTGGAGGCAGCAACCACAAAAAGCTTTTCAACTTTGCTTTAGTTGTTTAGTTGTGTCCGACTCTTCATGACCCCAATGGACCAGAGCATGCCAGGCACTCCTGTCTTCCACTGCCTCCCGCAGTTTTGTCAAACTCATGTGTTCGTAGCTTCAAGAACACTGTCCAACCATCTTGTCCTCTGTCGACCCCTTTCCCAACATCAAGGTCTTTTCCAGGGAGTCTTCTCTTCTCATGAGGAGTATTGGAGCCTCAGCTTCAGGATCTGTCCTTCCAGTGAGCACTCAGGGCTGATTTCCTTCAGAATGGATAGGTTTGATCTTCTTGCAGTTCATGAGGAACGGGCCCCGTAGCCTTTACAGGCTTGAGAGCACTGAATCAAGAGCACAGAAAGTGTAACATGGATATATTCTAAGAGTTAGGAAAGCCTTGCTCTTTCCTCAGTGTTTCTACATGTTGTCCCTTGGTGTTTCTGAATCTGAGCTTGGCTTCACCAGCAAAATATGACTGTTCCTTCGTTATCTGCTTTTGAATCACTAATAGTGCAAACATCATTAACACAGACCATTTTCATTTATTATCATAAGAGTCCCAAGATCTGGACCAACCAGGTGGTAACACAAGTATGCCCATGAAAAAATAAGGGACTAGACTCAATAATCACCCCACAATTGAAAACTTAATATGTTCTTCCTTATCAGTGTAAAGAGTAGATACTGCTTTTCTCTTACAGTTAAAAATAAATATCCCTGTCAAAGTAGACTAACAGAGTAGACTAACCACATTGAAAAGCACACAACATACCAGTGGTAGCAGCAACAACATGGGGGCCACTTCCATAGCTGAGGCAGGCTAGTTTTTTGCCACATAAAGTATCTAACCTTCGAGGTTCAATGCTGCTCTGTGTGTCACCGATTCCCAAACAACCACTGCAGTTAGTGCCAAGCGCAAAAACCTGTCACACAGTGATACTGTTAGTACAGAAAATATTTACTATCATAGTATTTCAGATCGAAAGTTTAATAAAATAGTTACGGTTTTTTAAGATTTTGTCAGATATTTTAATCAGAACTGTATCTTTGTTAAAGAAAATCAGAATTCTGCAGCAAGGATAACTGTTTTGGCACAGTAAAAAATTGTGCAAGGCAAGTTGACATCCACTCCTAGTGTAACATTTACTGTGCCCTGGAAATCTTAATCCAATGCGTGCTAAGACAAACATGATGTAGAGGCAAACAGTTATTAATTGTTATATCTGCAAAAGTTACCTCATCATTTTCAGTTGCATAAAGTACTTCATTGCCTGCACTGCCAAATACACAGGCCTGGCGAATTAACTTCAACTCCTCTTGAGAGCGGAGAGCAAATATTGGCCATTTCCCAACATCCAACATCTGTTCCAATAAAAACAACATATTGTAGATCAGTCTAAATAGGTTAAATGCTTCTTTTCATATTGTTTTTTTTAAAAATCACCACAAGTATTACATTGTTTTGAAACAGCTGTCCTGTCCATTTCACTAAAGATAAATGTGAATATAAATTAAGAAAAGGCAACCAAATGACAAATGAAAAACAAATAGGACAGCAAATTATGAACCTAATCCCAACTACACATATCACTTTAAAACTACTTCCTCCCACTTTATATTTTTTTAAATACATGTATCTGCTACAGTGTTACCTCGGTTGTTGAACGCTTCAGAAGCCGAACGTTTCGGTTTTCGAACACCGAAAACCCGGAAGTGAATGCTTCTGTTCTTGAACACGCCTCAGAAGTCGAATGGCTTCTGAGGTGCGTGTCTCCATTTTCTCAATGGAACTTGCCAACCGCCCATTGCGCCTCAGTTGCCGAACATTTTGGAAGTTGAACGGTCTTCCGGAACAGATTACGTTCAACAACCGAGGTACCACTGTACTATGATTTGTAGGTTCTCCTTTAGCAACACAGTGGTACCTTGGGTTACGAACTTAATTCGTTCCGGGAGGTCTGTTCTTAACCCAAAACCATTCTTAACTTTCGCTAATTAATTAATTTCGCTAATTAGCTTTCGCTAATGGGGCCTCCTGTTGCCGTTGCACCACTGCTGCGCGATTTCCATTCTCATCCTGGGGCAAAGTTCTCAACTTGAGGTACTACTTCCAGTTAGCGGAGTTTGTAACCTGAAGTGTTTGTAACCCAAAATGTTTGTAACCCGAGGTATCATGGTACTTGCTTTGTCCATAAAATCGACTCCTTGGAAGCCAGCTCCTGTTTATTGCATGTCAGTCAACACACACAGAGAGAAAAGCATTCATTTTCAACCCTACAAAACATCACGACACTTTATTGCAGGGAAGTCCAACCCACAGCCCATTGAATGAGGTTCTTATAAACACATTACATATAATTTAGAGTTCCTTTTTGGGCTGAGAAGAAGATTCACAAAACAGAGACTGAAGTCTGGGGTTTTTGTTGCTGTAGTTCTGTTGGGACTGCAGCAGCACAAGTATACTCAGAGAGCGTTTCTCTCATGGACTCCCTGTTATGTATACTGAGTATACTAGAGACCGAATTGCTATGGCCTGTGAAGGATGGCATTTCCCCTCTTCCCCTTTCTAGCACAGTGCTGTACAACAACCAAGTTCCTTGTCTATGACTCACACCACAGTAGACTTCACTCATGGCTCTGTGATGGGTGGTTTCTTGGTGATTTTCATCTTTGAATCCAGGGCGGCTCAGCTAAGTGCAGAGAGCGCGGCTGGTGAGCCAAGGCTTGAGGTTCGCGGCACGGCATCCATCCTTCACTGAGGCAGCCTTTGGGAGGGGGAAGGGGGAATGGATGTCCCAAGCTGCCTGTTCTCTTCACGCTTCTGCTGCTCAGGCTCCATCCTCTGGCTCCTTCTCATTCCAAGGGTCCTAGCTGCACTGCACACAGCTAAGTATAGCTGTCGCATGTCCTTCGCAGCCACAAGACGCAGCTGACAGTGCAGCTTTAAAAAAAAGGCAGGCAGGCAAGTTGGCTGTTTGGGCTCACACAGACGTTCAGGCTGCTGCTCGAATGCCATGTACCATGGTGTAGGTCAGACCTCACCTGGAGTACTGTGTCCAGTTCTGGGCACCACAGTTCAAGAAGGGCACTGACAAACTGGAACGTGTCCAGAGGAGGGCAACCAAAATGGTCAAAGGCCTGGAAACGATGCCTTATGAGGAACGGCTAAGGGAGCTGGGCATGTTTAGCCTGGAGAAGAGGAGGTTAAGGGGTGATATGATAGCCATGTTCAAATATATAAAAGGATGTCATATAGAGGAGGGAGAAAGGTTGTTTTCTGCTGCTCCAGAGAAGCGGACACGGAGCAATGGATCCAAACTACAAGAAAGAAGATTCCACCTAAACATTAGGAAGAACTTCCTGACAGTAAGAGCTGTTCGACAGTGGAATTTGCTGCCAAGGAGTGTGGTGGAGTCTCCTTCTTTGGAGGTCTTTAAGCAGAGGCTTGACAACCATATGTCAGGAGTGCTCTGATGGTGTTTCCTGCTTGGCAGGGGGTTGGACTCGATGGCCCTTGTGATCTATTCCAACTCTATGATTCTATGATTCTGTGTATGTTATAGGCACACAGGCTGCAATCCAAGGCACCATTACTCTGGAGTAAGAACCACTGGAATAAATGGGACTTGTTGTTTAGTCGTTTAGTTGTGTCCGACTCTTTGTGACCCCATGGACCAGAGCACGCCAGGCACTCCTGTCTTCCACCGCCTCCCGCAGTTTGGTCAGACTCATGCTGGTAGCTTCGAGAACACTATCCCACCATCTCGTCCTCTGTCGTCCCCTTCTCCTTGTGCCCTCCATCTTTCCCAACATCAGGGTCTTTTCCAGGGAGTCTTCACTTCTCATGAGGTGGCCAAAGTATTGGAGCCTCAGCTTTACGATCTGTCCTTCCAGTGAGCACTCAGGGCTGATTTCCTTAAGTAAATGGGACTTACTCACGAGGAAATGTGCACAAGTTCAATAGGTAACCTTTCCAACAAGGACGGGGAATCTGTGGCCCTCCAAATGTTGATGCTCTGTCACCCCTACGTATGGTCTGTGCTTGTTGTGGAAGTTGGGGGGTTGAGGTCGGATGAGGGAAGGGGTGGGCTGCAGGCCACACTGTTCACAGCGCCCTTGCTGGGGGGCGTGTGTGTGAAGTTAACTGTGGGGCAGTTGCCACTGCTGCTGGTTCCCCTTCTAGCCTTTCTGTAATGGCCACATGGACTGTGGTGGCACCGGTGGTCCTATGAGGAGGGGAGGACGGGGAGGTGGCTCATAGTCCTCTACAATAATTTTTGCATAATATTTTGTGTAATAAATGAATATACCGTATTTTTCGTCCTATAGGGCGCACCGGCCCATAGGACGCACCTCGTTTTTTGGGAGGGGGAAATGAATAAAAAAAAATTATTCCCCCCACCCGCCGCGGCTGCCGCCCCAAGCCTTGCGCACACCTGCCCGAAGCACGGGGCACCCTCCGGAGGGCTCCGCGTGCTTCGGGCTGCAGGCTGCCGCCCCAAGCCTCGTGCGCTCGGCGGGACCTCCTGCCGGGCGCGCGAGGCTTGCAGACACTCGCCCGAAGCACGGGGAGCCCTCCGGAGGGCTCCCCTTGCTTCGGGCGACAGGCTGCCGCCCCAAGCCTCGCACGCTCGGCGGGACCACCTGCCAGGCACGCAAGGCTTGCGGACACTCGCCGGGGCTGCAGGCTGCTGCCCGCAAGCCTTGTGAGCCCGCGGGAACTCCCGCCGGGCTTGCAAGGCTTGTGGATAGCTTCAGCGAAAGCCTGCAATCGCCCCATAGGACGCACACACATTTCCCCTTCATTTTTGGAGGGGGAAAAGTGCATCCTATGGGGCGAAAAATATGGTAATAAATGTGTTTTAATGATACATTTTCAATTAAATATATTAATAATGTATATTCAATACTATTTATTGCAAACACTTTAATTTACAATATGGAAATTTAATTCAGTTCAGTTTGTGGCTCACAGGTTCTGTGTCACAGAACTCTTGCAGTCCACTTGGTCTGGGGTTGGACCACCCTGCTTTACTGTGAAGAACCAATCTTACCTTTTCAACATCAACAAGTCTTAGTTTAGCTCATTTAGAGATGAAAGTCTATGCCATTTCTGTAGCCTAGAAAAATAAGAGGAAGAGGTGATTAGGGCAATCTCTGAAGCTCTGTCTGACAACATCTCAAGATTAAAGCCACCATCTGGGACATTTTCCCCATTATAGCTTTGAACAATCCCCTGTGCATGTAATTTTTGAAATGCTGCTTTAAAGCCCAAACAGGACTGTGGTTTTATGCAGCAAACATATTTCCAATGTTCCAGTGTTCTCTCAACAAACGCTAATAAATCCACCATCAGATAACTAATTGGCTGTAGTTCTTTAGTGCACAACCAGTTCCTCTCAGCAGATGCATGAACATCTTAAACAGTTCTGATGTTCATAGACATAATGAGCTGACCCATCAAAATTCCTCTCTATCCTGCCCACAAACCAGCAATACTAAGAACAAACAAAAGGTAAAATATATTCATCTACAAAACCAACTTATAAAACTTATGCACATATAAAACACACCAATGCCAACACTGCATAAGAATAAAATAGTACAAATAAATTTTTTGATACAGCTTCTTTGTCCTGACTGCTGCGCATAGACAAAACAACCTTGCGGAAATCCACAGTTATGCTTGGACTCTGCGCCTTATGGACCCGACGGACAGCCAAGGCAGCTGCTGAAATTCTATTCTTTTATTTTGTATCTGATCCAGGCCAGAAGTCTTGCTGGCCACATGGAAAAGCTGCCTGTGGACCAACGCCGGCCGCCTCGGCCTGGAAGCCAGAGTCGCCTCTGCCTGGGCTTAAGCGTCCAGGGGACCTCTGGAGAGCCTGTTGCCGGCAGGGGCTCCCTATGAAGGCAGCGTGGTTCTCCTTCTCCCCAACCTGAATCCCGGCCGCACGCCGAGCCCAGAGCCAGGGGAGCAGGCCGGTCTGGCGCGGCGCCTCCGGCCGCCTTTCCCCGCGGAGCTGAGCGCCTGGCCGGCTTCCAAGAGCGGCATCCATCAAGGGCTTTCTGCGGATGGGACTCTGCGCGGCCTGCTCCCGCGCCCGGGAGGGACGGGCCGTTTTCGGGGGCGCCGGAAGGAAGGCGCCGCTGACAAGGGAGGCCTCGCCGCCGGCCGGCTGGGCGGGCACCGCCACCTGCGCGCCTCCCTCGTCCCGGGCGCAGTTTGCGCGCAGCCCCGCAGAGGGACCACCCGCACCTCAGGGCGCAGCGCGCCCGCCTGGGTCCGCCGTGCGACCCCGCCTCACCCGAGGGCCGCCTCACCGTCCTCCCGCCGCTGCTCCCTCCGCCGCCCGGCCTGCCTCGCCCTCGGGCGCCGGCCGCGTCCCTCCGCTCCGCCTGGGCCCCCAAGCCGGGCGCCGGGCTCTTCCGCGGCGGCGCAGCTCTTCCCCGCGCCGGGCTCTGGGCCTCCGCGTCCGCTGGAGCCGGGCTCCTCTCTGTCGGCTCCGTCCGGCGGCCCCGGAGCCCCGTGTCCTGCCGGGGAGGAGGAGGAGGAGGAAGAGGCGTCAGGGATCCAGAGATTCTTCGATCGGGCTTGCAATTCTCCTTCCTCGAGAAAGAAATGGCCACACTGTGGAAATTCAGGGGAGAAATAAATGTCTAGAGGATTTTCAACCTCAGGACATTGAAGCTCATAAATTTATAAAATAAAGCCTATCTTTTTATGAACCAATTATAAAATAATTTCACAGTAATCCTTGTAAAGGTAGCCACGAAACATTCCCAAATGCACAGTAACCAAAAATGGGGAAAGTGGTGGCCATCTTCTAGGATAGAGACCAAGGACTAAGCAAAACAATTGGCAACTTAGATATTTTAATTCAGCACATGTCTGAGGCTGCTTTGCTGTATTACTAAGAATATTTTACCTCCATTAATTTATTGCTGTTGCTTAAAGGAAAATTCATTTTTGAGACCTAGGAAGCTGTAAGTAAAGAATGTTAAACTTCCTTTGCACTGTGTGGTCTTATTTTTTTGAAAAAATGGTAAATGGGGTTCAGCTGCTCCATGCAGCTGAACAAAAATAAGACTTAATAGCATATTCCTAGGCTTCCTTAATCAGCCTAATGATAGGACTTCGTACCCTGCTATTGGGGCTCTCTGTGTGTTAGTCCCACGTTTTAAAAACAGACACTGGCTCCCCCCACCCTTTGTTAAACCACACACATGGGTCTCTAGAGGATTTAAACATAATTAGTATATCCTCATACCGATTTCCATAATAAAAGTGAATTGATGACTTAAGTTATGGGTGGTTTGGCAGTCCTATACCTAGCATGCCTCTTTGGTTCATTTTCTAAGTAATTTTCACAAATCAATGTCACTGGATAGTGACTCGGATGTTATTGGCAGGAAAGTTCAGCTTCAATGGAAGGTAGAGAATAGGTGAAAATCATTTCTATACATGTGTAGGAGGAAGAAAAGGACAAAAGGTCTGGAATTTTCCATACCCCTGACCTGTTTTTGAATAAATGGCAACTCCCATTAGATGAAGGTTGTAAGGAAAAGAAAGCAATCAAGACCTGGTAAAGCCACTTTATTGTCCTCCTCCTTGGCACAGTAAACACTGTTACTGTACATAAATTACTGTACTTGCATCTGCTGCCGCTGGAAATTCTCTCTATCCGAAGTTGGTGCAACAGGGTTGGGTAGCTGGATTTAGATAAGGAAAGTAAAAGCTCAAGGGTAGAAATACAAACAAAGTCTCTGAAATTTGATACCAATTTATGAAGGGATAAAACGGTTCTTGCACCTGCATCTCAACTGTCTTAATGATTCCCTGTATGGACATCGAGATGAGATTCTTTTGAATTGTGCCCTGAAACTGGTTGATTAGTGGCATTTTGATTCAGATTGTTGTTAAACCAAAAAAGTACAGAACTAGCTTCCTATTGTTATTTATTTGTAATATTCCTCACCCACCCATCACCAAGCAGGCTAGAGAAGTTCAGCATCCAGTCATAAAAACAGAAAAGCTTATTGCGATTAAAAAACACGTGAAACTATTCCAAATGTACGAGAGCAGTAAAAATTCAGCCAAAGAGATTTTATTATTATTTATTACATTTATATACCACCTTCATCTTCTAAGGATCTCAAGGTGTTGCACATGGTTCTCCCCCTCGGCTCCTCCCCATTTCACCCTTACAGCAACCCTGTGGGGTAGTTTAGGCTAAGAGATGGGGCCTGAGTGGTCCAAGGCCCCCCAGTGAGCTTCACGGCTGAGGGGGGATTCAAAACTTGCGCTCCCAGCTCCTAGTCCAACACCTGATTACCATTACACCACACGGGGTCCCACCAAACAAAATGCCTTAGCTGTCAAAGGCTAAGATGAAGAGGTCTGTCTTCAGCATGTGGCAAAAACTCAGTTGCTAGGCGCATTTCTGGGGGGATGGAGTCCCATAATTTAGGGGCTGCCACAAAGAAAGGACCCCCATTCTCTGCACTTCCAAGGGTGGCAGAACTACAAAGAGAGGGTTGATCTGCTGATCTTTAGCATGCAAGAAGGTCAGTAGGGAAGGAGGCTGTTTTTCAGATATTTGGGGCCTAAGTTATTAACGGCATTAAATACTAATGTGCTCACGAATCCCTCGTGCTTGTTCATCTCACAATCCCATCTCATTTCCACTTTAAGCTACAGTGTTTCATTTTAAACTGTATGAAAATTACTATTCAAATATATATAAATCAGAACTGCACAACTTTTAAGTATTTAATCTGCGTGTACATATAATTTCTACTGGAAGAGCCTCAGCACACAAATGGTTCTACTGATCTGTTCCTCAACATGACAAATTTCCCTCATGGAAACGATGACTGCTCAACTGAAAGCACAAAGAGGACAAAAAAAGATAAGTTTCACAAACAATCGTTCTGTTTTATTGTCTATGCAGATAATCAAGACTCCAGTTTAACTCTGCCAGATATTTGTGGGATAAAATATAGCTACATTCCATGTCCTAAATAAATCTAGGACATTATTGATGGATCTGGAGGCAACTTAGTCATCATATGATGTTATATTGTGTTGTTAACTGTATTGTGGAAAAATATATATAAAATATATTTTAAAAAGAATGTACCTGTATTTATCTTAAAATGCATTTTGGTAATTTTTAATGCCAAGAAAAATTCAAGGAGGTGTGAAATCTGAATCTGGACTGTATTGCAATCAGGATGTTTGAATTGGGTTCCTTTGCTTAAAAATGCAAATCAAGCAGAATTCTCCATCTGTAACCAAGAGATAATGTAAAATATGGTAGCATCCACGAGAATAACATACACCAGGCACTGGAATATGAAAAGTCTCTTTAAGGGAAGAGATTTAACACATCTAGTTAAACACGCCTGGTTTCTCTAGGCCCACCTTCTGTTACGGAAAGTAGTCCAGAATCATAGCATTGTAGAGATGGAAGGACCCCGAGGCATCTTCCAGGAGCAGGATGGGACCCAATATAATTAGCACACTTTCATTTTTATATAGTAACCTGGAATTGCTACAGCAGTTTTCTCTGTTATAGTAGACATTCATAGCTACATACCTACATTTTCTGCTCCTTCTTGTAATGGTGAACTATGCTTTGGAAATAATAATTAAAAACTTCTTGCAAGGAAAGAGAGAATGCAAAATCTGAAGGGATTTACTAAATCTCATAACTCAAAGTAGATGAAAGGTTCTCTCAAGATGTGCTGCTTCAGTTATGAGCATCATAGGAGACTTTGCTGTCCTCACTCCAGTGCTTGCCTGTCCTCTTCTTTCTGTTCCTTTCAGCCATGACAATGGCAGCTACCACAGTGACAAAGACTGTGAAAGTTATGACAAGAACCGTCACTGTCTCTGCAATGCACAGCTGGGTGTCCACAGATGACAGAGGACGGTTTCTCAGGATATGGGGCTCCATGCATGTCACGTTGTGATAGTCATCTAGGATCAGCCTTCTGACACTGTGCAGTTTAGCAAAAACCCTCTGAAGGTCACAGTCACAAAACCATGGGTTGTCCGACAGCAAGATGTGAGTTCCAGAGGTCTGGAGAGATAATAAAGTCTTGAATCGAATATGTTCAATTTGGTTGTGCACCAGGTTAAGTATTGTGAGGCTGCTTAAAGAAGTAAAGACTCCAGGGCCGATGGTTTTGATTCTGTTGCCCTCCAAGTTCAAAACTTCTAAGTGTTGCAGCATAGAAAAATCTCCATTGTTGAGGTTATGAAGGTGATTATTCTGAAGACAAAGTTGCCTCAAGCAGGTGAGACTGCGAAACGCACCAGTTTCTATCAATGATATATTATTATTTTGCAAATTGAGCTTCTGAAGACTTTCGAAGTGCTTGAAGTTCTTGTACTGTAGCTCCTGCAGCCTATTGTAGGCCAAAGTGAGTTCATAGAGAGTAACAAGACCCAATGAAAAACTGTTTCCAAGAAAGGAGATCTCATTTCTACCAATATCAAGCTTATGGAGTCTCTCCAGGGAGATGAATGCTCTCTCTTCAACTCTCCTGATGTAGTTGTCACTCAGAAGGAGAACCCGTAACTTCCACAGGGATCTGAGACCTTTGCTTGGAACAGAATGCAGCTGACTGTTTGACAGATCCAAGTGCTCTGTCTCCGGAGGGAAAATGAGATCGGAGCTGACATTGACTCCTGAACAGTTCACAAACATTGCCCCTTCTGTGCAGAAGCAGATTTTATGGCATGGGTTATGGGTTTCAGAGACACTAAAGGAGAGGGGAATCCAGAGGCAGAATAAGTAATGAAAATACATCTTCAGTCTTGTTCTGTATGTTCTTTAGTTCCTGTTGTACAACAGAATTATTTTTTTTAATCACATTTTAGAAAAATACCTAGAATTTTTGGTATATGATAGAAACACAACGAATGATTAACTTTGAAAACTTAGTTTAGGAATGACACAAGTGAGAAAAGGTTGGCTGTCTAGTTTGTACACACACTAGAGCTTCAGCTACGACCCTGCCTGACTCTTTAAGTCCAGTTACCAGCTCTCTTCTCGCATTCTCATGTGATGAAATCATTGAGTCTAACACAGAACTTTCTGACTGTGTACTTATTGGAAGATATAAAGCCACTTCATTCCATGCATAATTTTCATGCTAGGATAAAAAGAAAGTAAAAACATTTGACTAAATTTGAAACTGGAGGTGGCTAACCTGTGGCCCTTCAGATATTGTTGAAGTACAACTCCTATCATCCCTGACCAGGCTGTGTGGGGCAGAGGACAACTCAGCAACATCTGAAGGGGCCAAGGCTCAGGTGTCTCTGTTTCAAATAACACCTGGTTTGGAAGTAATGGCAAAAGAGGAAGTGCTGGAGTGTGTGAACCTGATGCTCACGCAGGTAAAGGTAAAGGGCCCCTGGATGGTTAAGTCCAGTCAAAGGCGACTATGGGGTTGCAGCGCTCATCTCGCTCTCAGGCCAAAGAAGCCGGCGTTTGTCCACAGGCAGCTTTCTGGGTCATGTGGCCAGCAGGACTAAACTGCTTCTGGTGCAACAGAAACCAGAGTGCACAGAAACACTGTTTACCTTCCTGCTACAGCGATACCTATTTATCTACATGCACTGGTATGCTTTTGAACGGCAAGGTTGTGGCAGAAGCTGGGACAGGGCAGCGGGAGCACACCCCATCAGGCAGACTTGAACTGCTGACCTTACAATCAGGAAGCCTTCCTTGGAGGTTTTTAAGCAGAGGTTATGGGTGCTTTAGCTGAGATTTCTGCATTGCAGGGGGCTGGACTAGATGACCCTTGGGTCCCTTCCAGCTCTAAGATTCTATGATTCTAAGCCCAAGAGGCTCAGTGGTTTAGACCACAGTGCCACCCATGTCCACGCATGTAACAGCAAATAACAGTTTAGTGTGATGTCCTAACTCAGCTCAACATTTTCTATGAACATTCAGAGTGATTTGCATATCCTGTTCTGGCCTTTTAGATAATAATAATAATAATAATAATAATAATAATAATAATAGCCTTCCTAATAAATAGCACACTTATATTCACAGAAATTTATGAACCCTCACATTTTTACTGAATGAGTACATATTTGTTCAACAAATTTTCAAATAAAAAAAATTTAAGGCATACCCTCCAACATTTTTCTGATAGGGAAATAGGGAAGTTATATTCCATAATAATAAATTTACTATTTATACCCCACACATCTTACTGGGTTGCCCCAGCCACTGTGGGTGGCTTCCAACATATATAAAAGCATAATAAAGCATTAAACGTTTAAAAAAACCTTCCCTATACAACTGCCTTCAGATGGCTTGGGGGATGGATAATTCCATACCCTCCAACATTTCTCCAATGAAAACAGGGACATCCTAAGGCAGGGGTCTGCAACCTTTAAGACAAAAAGAGCCACTTGGACCCGTTTCCGAAGAAAAAACAACAACTGGGAGCCGCAAAACCATTGCGACATTTAAAACAAATATATCTCCGGAGCCGCGATCTGACAGTGGGCGGGAAGGTGACGTCGGGACGGTGCGTGACCAATGCACGCACCACCCCCATGCGACGTCACAACCAGTACAGCGCCTGCCACAGTGAGGAGTGTCAGGGTGCACAATGCTCCTCCTCCCCTCGCTAGTATCCGCCCCAGAGCCGCGGCAAAGATGTAAAAGAGCCACATGCGGCTCCGGAGCCGCGGGTTGCAGACCCCTGTCCTAAGGGGAAGTGGGACATTTTGGAATCAAAGAAACGGGCGGCTTCTCTAAATCAAGTGTTCCTGGAAAATAGGGACACTTGGAGGGTCTGTAAAGAGTGGGACCCAATGATCATTCTGTCAATGCAAGGATTTCTGCTTGCTCAGCGAAACATTCTCCCTCTCCTCCCCCACATATTCCCTAAAACTGTTCTTGGTGTTTCCCCAGCCTTTGGGAGCAAGAGCACTGACTCCCCCCCCCCCCCACAATTGAGGGGGCTGAGGCCTTGCAACATACTGACATCACTCATGCTTGCACGTGAGACGTGCACACACCAAGTGGCATGCAAGAGTCACGCAAGCACACGATGTGGCGTGCATGCACAAGGTGCACGTGGCTGCCACAGAATTTTGATGCCCCCCCCGGCTCCCCTACACGGAGTCCCTGCTTGAGAGTAGATTTGGGGAGGGTGTACAGCACAAAGGAAGCAGAGGGAGAACTCAAGTTCTCTTACATAAGCAGACATCCTAGCACTCTCCAAACCATTTAAAACAATCTAAGAGAAAATGTGCTTTATCCCAAGACAATGGGTATTATATAAAGCAGATATGTATCTGAGAGCAGCCTGGTTGTGTGATTATTCACTTGTGGCGACACGGAGGCAGCCTTTTCCCTGCTGGCACCATGGTTGTGCGATGCACCCCTGCGGAAATTCACGAGGCCTCACCTGTTCTTGCATTTTCCCACCTTTGAAGGCACACTCGTTTGCACAAGCATTTCCTTGATTTTGTGACATGTCTTCTGTTTCAATTGCTATGTTGTTCTATTGTAATCCAGTCTCTGATCCAACTAAATTATGCCCCATCGGACTCCGGACCTGAGAATATACCACGTTGCTATGTTGTTCTAATGGGATTGTTTTATTGCATATTTTTTATTGTAGACGTTTATATTTTAAGGTTTGTGTAATTAGTTTTTCCATGGCTTAGAAGCTTATTTTGGAATTAAACTGTTGTAATAAACAGTGATGATGAGGATGTAGCTTAAAAGGATGAACGATCCACCGTAAGAGAGAAAGCCAGTGGGGAATAATGTGTAGAGTTTTGGATTTTGAACAGTGAGAACAGGGTTCAAATCTCTGCGTCATGTATGGAGCTCACTGGATGACCTTGGGCCAGCCAACACCATCTCCTTCAAGCCCCATAAAAGATCACTGAAAATTAAACCAAGTTGCAGCAGCATAAATGGAGTTTAATACCATTGTTTAAACATATTTACTATCCCACTGTGGATGGGTCTTATTTCTAAAATGACAAGTTGTTTAATTCTTGCTGTTCCATGCAATTACGTTTCTTGCTATTGACAGCCATGGTGGGCATTTCCCAGACTTTCTGGAAAGATTATTAGTTACAGATAGGTAGCCGTGTTGGTCTGCCATAGTCAAAACAAAAAAAATTCCTTCCAGTAGCACCTTAAAGACCAACTAAGTTAGTTCTTGGTATGAGCTTTCGTGTGCATGCACACTTCTTCAGTTGCATTACCAACTCATTACCAAACTTAAAACCATGGAGAGACCTGGTCTGAACAAAGACATTGAATTCTTATCTCATTATACATGACAAAGCCATTTTTCACCTTCTCACCCCTTGCTTTTTCCTGTAAGACCTATTGCAGTCATTAAGAGTCGTCAACAGGCTCATCACAGCTATCTGCCAATCACCCATTCCCACCACCCTTCTGAGTAATACCCCTCCCCACCTTCTCACTATATAGAAGGATCTGGCAACTTCTGTTTCAGTGTATCTGAAGAAGTGTGCATGCACACGAAAGCTCATACCAAGAACTAACTTAGTTGGTCTTTAAGGTGCTACTGGAAGGAATTTTTTTTGTTTTGGAAAGATTATTGTTATGCTACTGTGAAACTTATTTGGTTAGAAATGTACTGGTTAAATGAAAGTGAATTCTGGAATACTTGAAAGCAAAACTGCAGAGCACATTTCAAAGTTTTCTGATTGTAAAGAAATTTACAAATGCTTCTCACTCTTATTTCTGCTGCCTCACACCATAAAGATCAAGGCTGCAATTCCATGCACACGTATCTGGAAGTCCCATTGACCCTAGTGGGATTTACTTAAACGTCTGAGCTGCATGGCTATTAATCTGATTTCCCAAACTCTCATTGCTCCAGTTCTTTAGAAAAAGTGACATATGTTTGTTTTATACCTTCTGTGAAAGCAATAGCTCCATGTACCCTTTCAACTGTAGAATACCCTTTTGGTGCACTCTCTTATTTACAACAACAATAAAAGCAACAACCATGCTACTGCAGATTGTAATGCCACCCTTTTACATGGCTAGACATGATACTTTGGTACTGACAGCTGCTTCAAAATAAATTTAATATATCTGCGGTCAACTTTAGAAAATGAGCGCTGTCACTGCCAAGACCACAGAGCCCACCTGAGAGTGGCAGGAGGGGGAGGAATGTAATAAAACTGCAAGTTCTTTAGGCATGTGTTTCTTACTATATAAAACTCAGTGAGAGTAGACAGTAATTGCAATAATGTCTGCAAGCGTCCTTAAAAGTCGAAATATTTCCCAGTTGGCCAAAACTCTTCACAAATTATGTATGTTGAGTCTTTAAAATGTTTTAGTAACTATTAACTGCACCAGCACAGGTGAAAATATCTGAAGGAACACACATGTGTGTGTTTTTATCTAATTGCCTGTATGTGCCTTTCGGCAACATTCACTCAGATCATCCTTACCTTTGCTGCAGCCCAATGCTCTTGCCAGGGTTCCTCCTTCAAATGTCCTTTGGACATGGATAGTGGCAGATGGAAAAGTACGGAGATGAAAGGGTTGGCTGTCAATGTGCTGAGAAAGACAGGTTGAAAGCTACATGCAAGGCAGAAGGATAGGGAGCGAGAAAGCATTAATAATGGAAGCAGTTGCAAAATTATGCTGGCCACCTGCTTATAGCTGCAGTCACTTTGGAAGAGTGTTGAGATCTGAAATGTGTATAAAGAGGCACATTTGGGTCAAGCCATAGTATAACATCTAACTCTTAAGGAACTGGAGTACAGAAAAATAAGAGGTGAACCTGCATACATATATTGGCATATGTACTGGGGATTCTTGGTTGCGACTCTTTGTAGTTACTCAAGTGGGTATATTTATGCAAAAGATTAGCTG